GGAGAAGGGATTGCGGCGTGACCATCCCCCCTGGGGGGTGATTTCTCGCTTTCTGTCTCTATGTCTCTCTCTGTCTGTCTGGTGAGCGCACGTGCCCTATAGCAAAAACATCTCAATAAAAAATAAATAAATAAATAAATAAATAAAATAAAAACATTACCCCACACATTACTTAGTTACAAGAGTGAAAGTAACCTAGAAGCAGAGAAAGCTGGCAGACACCACCTTACCCAGTTGATCAAACTTGACATCCCCATTAATGGAACAAACTGATAACATGGTAATGAGAAGCATACAGCATGACCTCTGTGGTAAGAAAACCGACCAAAGGCATTAAACCAGAATCCCTCAAAAGAAAATAGGGCCAGGAGATGACATGGTGGTTGGGACAGCTGGATCTCACATGGCCAACTGCATGGTCCCAGTCCCAGACCAGTGGCTTGAAGGAAACACTGTGCTCATGTGCACACGTCCCCAAAATCTAGAAAAGAGAATGAAAGAAAAGGGATTGCAGTGTGTCCATCTACCCTGCGTGGATCAGCAGTCGTAGGAACAGAACTCAGTTGTGGAGTGAGGAGTTCCTGTACTAGGCCTACCACTACGAAGAGTAAATTTAAGTTACTTGTGAACACCTCGTGGTCATTTCTCTTTTTTTTTTTTTTTTAAGAGGTTTTTGCCTTAGGGCATGCACTTGCTGATATGAGAGAGACACAGAGACAATGAGAGGGAAAGTGAAAAATCACCCCCTGGGAAGATGGCCACACCACAAACTCTTCTCCTCCAGGGATTTTGGGCATGCATGTACACATACCCAGCATGAGTTTCAAGGGGCTTGAGTTCATGGGGCTTGAACAGCAGGCGGCCATGTGGGAGTCCAGCGGAGTAACCACTATACCATCTGCTAACCCTTTGTGGTCATTTCTTGATTTTTTTTCCTCTTTCTTCTCATTCTCCTCTTACTGTATCAAGATTCCAGGATGATTGGAAAGTTGCAAGTTAGAATTTCGTAGAATATCAATAAAATGGTGCTATGGAAGTCAATGAATTATGAGCAGGGTTTCTATTACACCTTTTCATTACCCTACATATTTCATTGTGGCTCTTCTCCAGGACTTGCTACACTATTTCTATCTAGTTCTCTGTAGAGGTCTATCTCCCTACCCAGCCTATGAGCCTCCTGAGAGAGGGACTCCTGATCTCCTAGGTCCTAGTCACAAAGTGCCTGTCACAAAGTGCCACATATGTGGGACCAGCAGGTGGCATGGTGGTTAAGGCGCTGGACATTCCCACATGGCCGACCATAGTTTGAGTCTAGGACCTGGTGGCTTGCTTCCTCACTTCCTCTGTCACTCTCTCTCTCTCTCTCTCTCTGGTCAAATTAAAATAAAATTAAAGAATAAAATTAAATGAACAATCCTTAAAAAAAAAAGAAAGAAAAGCATTAACAAAGTGCCATGAATGCCAACTGCTAATTCCCCTTGTTATTCTCTCTCCTAGTTACCTTTGGTTACACTTTTATTCGACAATTTATTTTCATTTATAGAAATTCTATTTGGTTCTTTTTCAAACCTGTCTATACACTTTGATTGTTTGTTTGTTTGCTATAGGGCATGTATGCTTGCCAGAAAGAAACAGAGAGAAAGAGAACGTTAAAAATCACCCCATGGGGGATGGCCATGCTGTTCTCCATTCTCCTCTCAGGATTTTGGGCACAATGCCCAATGTGATTTTTCAAGCCACTGGATCTAGGACTCAAACTGCACACTTGGCCATATGAGATCCACCTGTCCTAACCTCTGCACCACCTGCTGACCTGACCCCCCCCCCTTTTTTTTTTTAAAGGTTTTTGGGATAGAGCTTGTGCCCTCGCCAGAGAGAGAGAGAGAAAGTGAGAAATCATTCCCAGAGGGGATGGCCACACAATCCCTTCTGTTCCATTCTCCTCTTGGAATTTTGGCATGCGTGCACGTGCCCAGTGTGGTTTTCAGGCTACTGGGTCCAGGACTCCAACCATGGAAGGCCATGTGATAATTCAGCATCTTTTTATCTTTTTTTTTTTTTTTTAGAGGTTTTTGCTGTAGGGCACATGCGCGTGCCAGAAAGACAGAAAGAGACAGAGAGACAGAAAGGAAGAAATCACTCCCCGGGGGGATGACCATGCCACAATCCCTTCTGTTCCATTCTCCTCTTGGAATCTTGGGCATGCACGCTCATGCACCTGGTGTGAGTTTAAGCCATCGGATCCAACCTCAAACCGCGGTCGACAACATGGGAGTCCAGAAACATAGTCATTACACCAACTGCTGGTCACTGTGATTATTCAGCATCTTAACTATCTTGTCACTTACTGGCCCTACCTGGTCAGGTTTTATGGTCTCTTATTCATTATACTGTCAATAACAGTTTAAATATATTAAAATGTTTTATGACTATATATTGGTAATTCCAGTATCTGTAACATGCATTTGATAACTTGATAGCACATTATATTAAATTTTAAAAGAAGGAACCAGCAGATGGCATAATAGTTATGTCACTGGACTCCCATGTAGCCGGTCACAGTTCGAGTCCTAGACTTGGTGACTTTTTTTTTTTTTTTTAATTTATTCATTCATTTATTTTAATTTGACCAGAGAGAGATACAGAGAGGGAGGGAAAGTGAGAAAGCAAGCCACCAGGTCCAGTATTTGAACCACAGTCGGCCATGTGGGAGTGTCCAGCACCTTAACCACCATGCCAACCGCTGGTCCCCTAGACTTGGTGACTTTAAAACTCAGGCCAAGTGAGTGTGTGTGCATGCTGGAAATCCTGAGAAGAGAACGGAGAAGGGACTGTGGTGTGGCCATCCCCCCTTGGGGGTGATTTCTCACTTTCTGTCTTTCTGTCTCTCTAGTAAAAAATCTTAAAAAAAAAAAACAAAAAAACGGTAAAGAAAAGAATAGAGATGCTAATAGGACAGTAGAATTTGGATTTTAGTCTCATCCATGATACCTGGAGTCCCTATGAGAAATTAGAGAATACTGAAATGAAATTATTATTATTTTTTTTTGGAGAGGTTTTAGACTTGGTGACTTTAAAACTCAGGCCAAGTGAGTGTGTGTGCATGCTGGAAATCCTGAGAAGAGAACGGAGAAGGGACTGTGGTGTGGCCATCCCCCCTTGGGGGTGATTTCTCACTTTCTGTCTTTCTGTCTCTCTAGTAAAAAATCTTAAAAAAAAAAAACAAAAAAACGGTAAAGAAAAAAATAGAGATGCTAATAGGACAGTAGAAATGTGGGAGTCCAGCAACATAGCCATTACGCTAACTGCTGGTTCCCCTGAAATGAAATTCTTGAACATAGAGAATTCTTTTAAACCATAACTCTTTTGTTTTCTCTTAGGAATCCACAAAAAAAGGAATCCACAAAAAAAGGAACTCAAGGACAGAAAGTAGGTTTCTGGTTGCCAGTACTTGGGAGAAGGTGAAAATGAAGAATAATTGCTTATTGGGTACAAGGTTTTCATTTGGGGCAGTGAAAGGTGATGGCTGTATAACACTGGATGTACTTGGCACCACTGAGGAGTACACTTCAAATGGTAAAACTTTTATGTTATATATATATTTTTCCTTTCTTTCTTTTGGAGAGGTTTTTGCTATAGGGCACGTGCACTTACCAGAGAGACAGAGAGAGACAGAGACACAGAAAGTGAGAAATCACCCCCGGGGGGATGGCCACGCCACAATCCCTTCTCCTCCTTTCTCCTCTTGGAATCTTGGGCACATATACACACGCGGCGTGAGTTTAAGCCACCGAGTCCAAGACTCGAAATGCAGTCGACTACATGGGAGTCCAGCGACATAGCCATTACGCTATGTGCTGGTCCCCATTTTTCTTTCTTTTTTTAAGGTTTTTGCCATAGAGCATGTGCGTTAGCTGGAGAGACAGAAAGATAGTGAGAGGAAAAGTGAGAAATCACCCCTTGGGGGTATGGCCACATTGCAATCCTTTCTCCTCCATTCTCCACTTGGGATTTTGGGTGCAACTTGGCTTGAATTTCAAGCTACCACAACTGAAACTCAAATTGTGGTCGGCCATGTGGGAGTTCAGCGTCTTAACCACTACACTACCTGCTGGCCCCATTACGTATATTTTAGCACAAGAAAGAAAGTTAAAAAAAAAAAACAAAAAAACAACTTGTGGGAACAGCAGTTAGCATAACGGCTATGTTGCTGGACTCCCACGTAGTCGACTGCAGTTCATGTCCCGGACCCAGTGGCTTAAAACTCATGCCGGGCGCGTGTGCGTGCGTGCCCAAGATCCCGAGAGGAGAATGGAGGAGAAGGGATTGCGGCGTGGCCACCCCCCTCGGGGGGTGATTTCTCGCTTTGTCTCTCTGTCTCTGTCTGTCTGGCGAGCGCACACGCCCTATAGCGGAAACCTCGCAAAAAACAAAACAAACAAAAAAAAACTTGTGAATCCCTTCCAAACACCTAGGTCTGTAAAAAACATGCCCACTGGGGCTGGCAGGTGTCGAGGTGGTTAAAAGCGCTGGATTCCCACATGGTCGACCGTGGTTCGAGTTCCAGATCTGGCAGCTTGCTTTCCCACTTTCCCTTTCTCTCTCTCTCTGTCTGGTCAAATTAAAATAATAATAATAATAACAAATGGAAATAAATAAATAATCTTTAACAACAACAACAACAACAAAAACCCCACTGGTTGCATTCAGAGTGCATAGGGACAGAAGTACAATTCAAACCACACACAACTTCAAAGGGGATCTTGAAATCATTCTTATCAGAAGTGGGAGTAAGTCTATTGGGAGGGTCTGGCATGCAGTGACTTCACAAGCACTCAGTCATCACCCCCCAGCTCTTGCCCCCATGACCTTCAAGAATGAAACACTCAGATACCAATAAGACATATCTCAAATAGTTTAATTTTAAAAATATTCTATTCAGTGCTAAAATATGTCTTCACTCACTGTTGCCCATTTCCATTTTCTTAAACTTTTTTGAAACAAAAAATAAAATCACAAAGTTCAATTAAACATGCAGATTTCAAAGAAAAGGGAACTTTCTAGAAGTTTCTGAGCTGAAGGAGTACTGTTGTCAGAACCTCAAATTCTTGCTGGGGCAGAGGCTGTGGCAGGAGGCAAGGGATGCTGGAATGAAATGATCAGTTGAAAACAGAGAAAGCCGTGGGTGGGTATTATGTATGTGTGCGTGTGTGCATGTGCGTGCATAAGAGTGCTGGGGGAAGCGGACGGTTTTGGCGGGGAATGAAGGACTGTCGGTAGTCACGGAGCCCATGAGAGGCAGAACAACCTCAGGAATAGGCAGAAGTACCAGGACAGAAGAAATCCATATAGGCTTTCTGCCCTCACGTGGAGAAAAGCCCTTCCCTTCTGAGAGGAGCCTCCTCCCCTTGTCTCCAAAGACTCTACCCAGCCATTCTCCAACAGCAGCCTATAGGGCCCTGGCCCTATGGGAAAGTCCATGGATCTATAGTCTCCATTCAAGTTCAAGTAACCCTAGGCACGCTCTTCTCTGGAGGACGCCTTCCACATCTCTTTCTTCTCGCAAAAGCGCCAGCAGCTCAGTCCAGAGGTTCTGGAGCAGAGACTGCTACCTGGAGGTGATAGATGAGCCTTGGGATGGCTGATGTTCCAGCCTACTTGAGGTGCAAAAAGGACATGAGTGCTCCTCTTCTCGGGAGCAAGCAGACATAGGTGCCAGGGATGGGAAGATGATGCTACAACCCCAAGTCCTATGTCGGCCTTCCAGCCCAGAAGGCTTATATGTGCAGGCTCTAGACCCCAGTGCTTGCCCTTACCCTAGCAACACAGCACGGCCAGAACCAGAATGCAATAAATAGAGGCAGGGACCAGGAGGTGAAGGGCAGTGAGGCGGTGCTAGCTTTCTGATGCTGTCTGCGGTACTGCAGGTTGGTCCACACAGAAGCGCTTCAGAGGCGGGGCGCCTGAGTCTTCCTCTTCCTCAGTGATCTGAAAACAGCCAAAGTATGAAATGAAAGGGTCGTGCCTCTGAACCAGACCTCTGCACCCACCTGCATTACAATCCAAAGCCACCTTCAGCCTACTTAAGATGACCAGCTTCTTCCCCTACCTCACAACCCGGAGACACCAGTTTCCCTGGATGCCTCCACACAGAACTGGAAGCGCATTCAATGCTGCAGATCCAATTTCTCAACAGTCTTTGCTTTTCTCATAGAAACTGAAAAATCCAAAGTGACTCCCTACCTGTGTTTCTAATGGAACTGGTTCTTCCTTCGTGAGAGTAGGAGGTTCATCGGCAACTTCAGAGGCAGGCAGGGAGGGCTCTGTAAAAACAGCAGGGTCAGCTAAGTGCAGGACCTTCCAGAGGAGTCCTGGCCTCAACCTGGGAGCTTTTCTGAGTTATGTGGCGGGAAAAACACCGGCCTGGGAGTCAAACATCCAGGGCCATTGAGGTTGAGCCACAGTCTTGTTGAGGAGTCATAGTTACTAATGGTAAAGGGGTAAAATACAGCAAGATCACAGAGGATATAAATGCAAGGCTAGAGAGCTTGGCCTATTCTGGAATCAACAAAGCAGCTCCTCTTGTCACTCTCCAGCCTGAATATCACGATTCTAACTTAGTCTCCCAGTTTTATAAGAGGGCCAGTATGTGAATTAGACGAAATAATACATGTAAGGAGCTAAAAACAGTGTGTGGCACACACTAAAGAGTAACTCTAGCTGGCACTATGCACAGAGAAACTAGTTTGATCTTGTAGTCTAGGTGTCATCAACGGGCCACAGAATGGGAAAAGCTAACGAGGACCTAAACGCACACAAATTTTCTTTTTCTGTTTAATTATTTATTTTTTATTTTATTTATTCATTCATTTATTTTAATTTGACCAGAGAGAGACAGAGGAAGAGAGAGAGAGAGTGAGAAAGCAAGCCACCAGGTCTGGGACTCGAACCGTGGCTGGCCATGTGGAAGTTCACCCTTAATCACCAAGCCACCTGCTGGCCCTATTCATATGATTTTTTAAAAGAATTATACCAGGCATTGAACATGAAGTTCTTCACACAGAACCTGGCACTCAAATGTACTGTGTGCTTTCTTCTTTCCTTCCGTGAAAAAGTAAACTACAGCCATTCCTGGTTCCAGTAGGTGGCATAGTAGTTGAGGCACTGGACTCCCATATGGCTGACCACAGTTTGAGTCCCAGACCCAGAGGCTTGAATATCAGGCTGGTTGTTTGTTGTTTGTCTCTCTGATGAGCACACAGACCCTATAGCAAAAAAAAAAAAAAAAAAAAAAAAAGAAGTCAGTCATTCCCCTAAAGAGCCCAAGCTGTTAACTGTGACACACACTCTCTAACTCTTACTCTAGAGAGTAAGAAGTGAGGCCTGGGGCTGGCAGGTGGCTTGGTGGTTAAGGGCACTGGACTCCCACATGGATGACTGTGGTTTAAGTCCCAAACCTGGCAGTTTATTTTCTCACTTTCTCTCTCTCTCTGGTCAAATTAAAAATAGTAAAAATAGGGACCAGCAGTTAGCATAACGGCTATGTCACTGGACTCCCATGTAGTTGACCACAGTTCAAGTCCCGGACCTGGTGGCTTAAACTCATGCTGGGTGCATGTGCATGAGTGCCCAAGATCATAAGAGGAGAGTAGAGGAGAAGGGACTGCGGCATGGCCATCTCCCCTGGGGGGTGATTTCTCACTTTCTCTCTGTCTCTCTGTCTTTCTGGCGAGCACACGCTCCCTATAGCAAAAAAACTATCAAAAAATAGTAATAATAAATAACTTGAATAAAATAATTCTTTAAAAAATAAAAGGGGTGGGGGACCAGCAGTTAGTGTAATGGCTATGTCGCTGGACTCCCATGTTGTCGACAGCGGTTTGTGTCCCGGACCCAGTGGCTTAAAACTCACGCCAGGCGTGTATGCATGCATGCCCAAGATCCCGAGAGGAGAATGGAGGAGAAGGGCCTGTGGCGTGGCCACTCCCCCTGGGGGGTGATTTCTCACTTTCTCTGTCTCTCTATCTCTGTCTGTCTGGCGAGCGCATGCGCCCTATAGCAAAAAATAAAAGGGATGGGAGTTAAGCTTTATCTTGAAATAAAAACCTCTGAATTGGGGGGGGGATCAACTAATAAATAAAAAATTTTTTACAAAAAGTGAGGCCCCTCTCTAAGACACTATTCCTGGACCAACCAAGACTCACCCTCGAGGATCTCCTGGCCCAGGGTTGGGGGTTGGGAATCATCTGTGCGGAAGTCAGAGGTGTGTGCTGGGCTCAGAGACTCGCTCTGCTGAGGGCTGGGACTGGAGTTGGTACTGCTGTCCACCTTGAGCTGATAGACATCAGACACAGAGCTCTGGTTGCTATTTTCATCTGAAAACCAAACACAACAAGGCAACAGGTGAGGTGGTCATCTTTCTCAAGGGGAAGGCAGCCTAGAGCAAAGTCCTGCCCCCCTCTTAGGCAAGCAGGGACACAGCCAGCTGCAACAATCACTGCTATAGGCACCCACTAAAAGACAGAGGCAGTTGTGAGACTTCTATACACTGCAAACTAACAGCAGAGGGAAAAATAATGAATTTAAGCATTTTTAATTTCATGACATATATTAAACACCAGAAGTACTCAGAATCTTTTAAGTTTATGCAACATTTATACTTCAGGAAGGTCAAGATAGAATTAATCTCTTCTTTATCACCTGCCAATTACAGCTTTAACCTGGTATTATTCGCACTGCATGATGGAAGGGAGGGGTGTAGTAGCCCTGTCTCTGGTCAGAACTTCCCAGTGTTTCTCACATCACAAGATGTGTAGGAAAGGATACAATTGATCAGGCATGCTTAGATAGCTGAAGAAGGCAGGGGTGCCTGGAGATGCCAGCTCAGTTCTTCTGCTGCCTACGGCCCCAAAGACAAGCTCTCTCAGGGCTCAGTCTCCATCTGAGCTAAAAACATGAGAGTCAATGGCTACTCCTTCCTCTGCTTCACCTCCAGCAGCTAGCTGGCAGGTCAGATCCACCCTCTTGTTCTGGTATCACCTGTGCTATGCCCTCCTCTCCTGTGGCCTTGCCAGACCTCGCCCCCTCTGGCCCAGCATCCTGAGATAGCCATCCAACTTACTGTCCTGTCGCCTTCGGCCTCATGGACTCCAAACTATACTTCACATCCCTGCCAGAGTGGCCTTTCCAAACCTTCAATGGTCCCTGCTACCTGAAGGACACATTTCGCATCCTTGTGCTTCCTAGGGCAGGCACAGGATGGCCCTCTCACATGTACAAGTCCTTTCTGATCTCAGGCCTCCTTGCTTGCTATTCTCTCAGTCACACCTTCGGCTCCAGCCAAGGGGATCCTAGCCCAAGAGTCGCTTCCTGTGCAGCGTCCCTGCCCATCTGCTCCTTATGCTGCTCTGACTTCCTCTTTCCAGGCTCCTAGAAAGCTCTGATACATTCCAACATTCAGCATCACTTCCTCTGTGAAGTACTGCCTTCTCTGACTCACCTAGGTGGAAAGGACCACCTCCTCTTGAAGCTGTTGTTGCGTCCTGAGCACATCTGCATTTATTATTTCATACATATGTCTCCTCCCACTATGCTCTGTGGGGGCAGGCTCTGGGGCTTTCTTGCCCTTAACTCTCTAATGTACAACATAGTTCCTGGCACACAGTAGGAGTTCATTAAATGTTTGCTGAATGAAAAGATAGTGACTAGATTGATGAAATGGAGCATCATGTCTCTCGGAACTGGAACACTGAATATCCCCACACAGCTAAAGAGAACCCTTCCCTGGTACTCTCCTGCTGACATTACCCTTGATGGAGTTGCAGGGAGGGGAGAAGAGTTAACTGCATGCTGGGGTAGCTCCCAGTCTAGTTCCAAAGAGAAAGACTTAAGCCCACTCTAGTCTTTCCTCCTATAAAGAACACAGTAAAATGGAAGAAGCATTTTGCTATAAAAAGAATAAAGCACTGACACTTTTGAGCTTAGGTCTGCTGTCTTCTGTGAGCATCAGTTGCCTTAAACAGGGAAAACTTCCTGGTTTATATTACAAGCATATAAGGATAAAAATGAGAAGCTAAAGTGAGAGTGCTTGTAGACATTAACTGGCATGTGGACGTAAAGGTAACAGTGTACTGCAGTGGTGACACAGGTGGGGCTGGACTTGTGCTGATACTGGATAGACAGAAGCCTTGCTTCGATAACCTACTCTAAGACATCACCATGAAACATACAGCCTAAAGAAAAGTGATTCTGATCTAGAAAACCAGGATCTGACATAAGGCCCATCATTTCCTAGTTATGGAATTATAAATAAGTAACCTCATGTCTCTAAGTCTATTTCCTTAACTGGAATGATGAGGATATTATTATCTACCCTGCAGGTTATTGTGAGGTTTGAATTAAAAGACTGACGTAAAATTCCTAGCAAAATACCAGCAATACAGTAAGTACTATTATGAACTACCAGCAGGAACTATTCTTACTATTAATAAGTTCATCTAAATTTTTTGTTCCTGTGAGGAAGATGCAACTCACCCTGGAATTCAAGAAGGAGAGAGGAATTGGCTGAGGCATCAGAGGGAAAGCCATTAGATTCCCGGGCTGCTGAACTGTTCGATTTTGACTTTTCTTTCTAGAAAAGGAAAAAAAGAGGAACATGACAGAGCCAAGCAGGAGACTCACAAAGAGGGAGATGGGTACTGAGTGAGAGACCAAAGAGGTCTGGACTAGGACTAAACAGGAATCACGACGTGCTGCAAGAGCCCAAGGACCTAAGGAGCAAGAGAATCCTGGGCAAGGTGCTTCTCCTCAGGCCTCAGTGTCTCTATTTGCAAAATGAACCCTTCTAGTGCAGGTATCATGGATCAAAACTGAGAGGCAGATACTCTATCAGAGTTCCTGGGGTTTTCTTGTGCTGTGATCAAAATGCTCTGTCTGACCCTTCCCTATATAGGTGGGCTGAAACACAAAACATGTATTTGGGGAAAAGATTTCTGTTTTAGTGGCATAGCAGAAAAAAAGAGAGAGAGAGAATGGACATTTGATTGTCCAAAAGGAGTCATTATGCATGTAACACAGGCAGCAATAAAGAACAAAGGGGCCCCCGCTAGCTCTATTCCTAGGTAATCCACCCTCATCCACTCAAAATGTCTACTGCATGTCTACCTTTACCTGTAACATTGTTTCTCTCAAGCAGGACATAGGTGACATGTGTGGGGGAGCCCCAAGGGGAAGGTAAGTGCTACCCTGCAGCAATCAAGCCGAGGGTAAAGGAAAGAATCAACCTACACATTTGCCAAATGAGAGCATCCCAAAAGACACTGCTGAAATCTGGGTAGTCTCGAATTTGCCAGATCATATCTTTTATACATGTCTATTTATTGTAGGTGCAGGGTACTAGTAATAAAATTTAGTTTTTGTTAATAATGTTCAAATTTATCTCCGTAATAAATCAACTGCGCACATTTATGTGTCCGTACCTGCATCTTTCATATACGGATATATTTTTTTTTAATTGTCAGAGGATGCATGTGCTCAACAGATAGAGTGAGAGGGAGAAATCAACCAATAAGGCATGCCACAACGCCTTCTCCTCCATTCTCCATTCTGTCAGGGTCTTGGCCATGTAGGCATAAGTATCAGGCATGTTTTTCAGGCCACCAGGGCTGGAATTTGAACCACATTCAGCCATGTGGTATCCAGCTTCCTTAACCACTAGGCTACAGGGCTGGTCTGTGATCATGTAAAGTATATATCCACTATAGAAAATTCTGAAAATAACAGAAAATCGCCTGTGTAACTAGAGACAACCTGTACATACACTTTTATGAAAAAGGGTAACAATGTGGTATCACTTGCCTCTCCTCTACCCTTACCACATTACAAATATTTTCCTATGCCATTAAATAATCTGCTATAACATTCTTCATAATGGCTACAAAACTTTAAAGATATAAATGCACAATAACTATTGAATTCTCTACAATATGACTGTTAGTTTGCTTTTTTTTTTTTTTGGAGAGGTTTTCGCTATAGGGTGCGTGCGCTCGTCAGACAGACAGACAGAGACAGAGAAACAGAAAGCAAGAAATCACCCCCCAGGGGGGATGGCCACGCCGCAATCCCTTCTCCTCCATTCTCCTCTCGGGATCTTGGGCACACACGCACACACGCCCGGCGTGAGCTTAAGCCACTGGGTCCTGGACTCGAACCGCGAACGACTACGTGGGAGTCCACTGACATAGCCATTACGCTAACTGCTGGTCCCTGCTGGCTTAAGCTCACGCCGGGCGCGTGTGCGTGCGTGCCCAAGATCCCGAGAGGAGAATGGAGGAGAAGGGATTGCGGCATGGCCATCCCCCCTGGGGGGTGATTTCTCGCTTTCTGTCTCTCTGTCTCTCTCTCTCTCTCTCTCTCTGGCGACCGTAAGCACCCTATAGCGAAAACCTCTCCAAAAAATAAATAAATAAAAAGTTCATGGAAAATGTATGTGATGTAAAAACTATGCATGGGTTTCAATTGTTCTAGCACCCAAATTTGTACTTTAATTCCATTTTTCCACTATTTGAAGTCCCCTCATGGGTTCATTATCTTTCATATGTAAGAAACAAGCCTGACTTATATATGACCTATATTAAGTTTGTACCACTTTACTTTCTTATCAGCAATATCCCACTTCCTTGTCTCCTCCGCATTTTTTTCCTTGACCAATTTGTTTGTTTTTAGTTTTTTGTCATAGGACGCATGTATTTGCCAGAGAAAGAGACAGAGAGGGAATGTGAGAAATCACCTCCGGGGCGTGGCCACACCACAATTCCATCCCCTCCATTCTTCTCCTCGGATTTTGGCACACATACACACAACATGAATTTCAAGCTGCCAGGTCCAAGACTTGAACTGTGGTTGGATATGTGGGAATCTAGTACCATGCCATCTGCTGGCCCCGCCTGGTCCAATTTGGTCATTACTTCACACTTTTCCTAATCTAATAGATCTAGAAAATGGCAGATTACCATGGACTGCTAGAGGGTAGATAAACTGATGAATCTTAGAGTTTAGCAACCAGTGCAAACATTACAAAAACTGGAGACAGGGACTAGCAGATGGCATAAGGCTACATTGCTGGACTCCCATGTAGTCGACCGCAACTTGAATCCTGGACCTGGTAGCTTGAACTCACACCAGGCATGTGTGCATACGTGCCCAAGATCCAAGAGGAGAAGGGATTGCGGTGTGGCCATCCCCCCTGGGGGTAATTTATTGCTTTCTCTCTGTCTTTGTCTGTCTTTCTGGTGAACACACACATCCTATAATAAAAACCTCTAAAAATAAAAACAAAAACAAAAAACTGGAGACAAAGGTGGCTGAGTCTTGGGGAAGGAGAAAGAGAGCCTTCTAGCAATGTCCTTCCCTGACATATACACAATGCCCAAAGATTTAACTGTTGACTCTTGATCCCTACAGTAATGGCATCATTGGATCTAAGGATGTGTGGGGAATAAAAGGTTTCTCCAGAGCCTCCCCACAACTTTAACACACCAAAGTCTCAGGTTTGGGATACTTTGGACTCCCTGAGATGCTTGTTTCCAGAAAAAGGTAGCATCTGGAAGATTGGTACTGGAGGGTTCTCTGGGACAAGAAAAGACGGCAGAGTATGAAAGATAAAGGTTGAACTCTAAGGTTAACAAGAGGAGGGAGGGAACCAGCAGTTCGTGTAATGGCTATGTCGCTGGACTCCCACATAGTCGACTGCGGTTCGCATCCCGGACCCGGGGGCTTAAAACTCAATGCCGGGTGCGCGTGCGCCCAAGATCCTGAGAGGAGAATGGAGGAGAAGGGACTGTGGTGTGATCATCCCCCCTGGGGGGTGATTTCTCGCTTTCTGTCTCTATGTCTCTCTCTGTCTGTCTGGTGAGTGCACGCGTCCTATAGCAAAAACCTCTCAAAAAAAAAAAAAAAAGAAGAAAAGAAAAAAACAAAGAAAACAAGAGGAGGGAAAGCCAAGGCTTACATTTCCATCTTTCTCTCAGCCACATATTACAAGCCAAGGCAGCTAAGCATTCCAAGGACATAAAAGATAAATAAAACAGACAAGGGCCGACGGGTGATATCATGGTTAAGGGGCTAGACTCCCACATGGCTGATCATAGTTTGAGTCCTGGACCTGGTAGCTTGTTTTCTCTCTCTCTTCCTCTCTGGTGAGCACACGTGCCGTATACCAAAAAATAAATGAATAGCTAAATAATAAGATAAAATTTATATGAATAATTGTTTAAAATAAAAAGATAAATGAAACAGAAAAACTAACCAGGTATCAAAGGAAAGCAGGCACTATGAAAGACAATAAACATAATAACCTATACAAAAAGGAGCCGACCAATGGGACAGAAGAGCTGAAATTATTTTTTATTGTTTATCTATTTTTAATTGTTGCAGTATGTGTGCACTCGCTTGTGAGAGGAAGAAATAGAAGGAAAGTGAGAAATTATTCAAGGGGGATGGCCATCCTAGAACCCCTTCTTTTCCATTTTCCTCTTGGGATTTGGGGCACACATGTTCTTGGTATGTTTTTCTTTTCTTTCTTTTTTTAATAATTATTTATTTAATTTATTATTATTTTTAATTTGACCAGAGAGAGAAAGGGAAAGTGGAAAAGCAAGCCACTAGGTCCAGGACTCAAACCATGGTCAGTCATGTGGGAATCCAGCATCTCAACCACCATACCATCTACCAGCCTAGCCCAGTGTATATTTTTCAATCCAGGGGATCTGGGACTCTGACCTGAGCAGCTGGCCATATGGGATCCAGCTGCCTTAACCACCATATCACTGCCTGGCCCAAGAACTGAAATTAAATATAGTAAGTCTCTTTAGGAGGATAAAAATACTACTGGAAAGTTGTTTTAAAGAACAAATAGAGGGGGACCAGCAGGTACAGCAGGTAGTGTGGTGGTTAAGGTGCTGGACACTCCCACATGGCCGACTGCAGTTCGAGTCTGGGACCTGCTGGCTTGCTTCCTCCCCACCCCGTGCGTGTCTCTCTCTGGTCAAAATTTAAAAAAAAAAAAAAAAAAAAAAAAAAAAAAAGAAAAAGAGAAAAAAAAAAAAAAAAAAAAAAAATCACATCCAGGGGAAGAGTTAATAAAATAACTGCTTAGAACTTAAATGAGAATTTCGATGACAGTGCTGGGTACCAGATGCAAAATGGATATTAATTTAGGCACCTCCC